TATTTTTTTTTTTTTTTTTTTTTTTTTTTTTCCTAAAATTCACCATAAAAAATAACAGGAAATGGTATAGCGTGTAACCATCAGCAAAAAGACAACACTGTTTTCACAGTGTCTTAGTAATGACAAAATAAACAGAGACAGAAGCAAGTGAAGTCTATGCATGTAAGTACAAGTTGTAAAATGGATAGATGTATAAGAGTGATTCCCATGGGAACCAGCAGGTACAACAAACACCATTTTTCTAACAATAGTGTTGGGTGAAGACACTGACACTGGTATCAAAATGTTCTGCATCAGCTATCCAAATTGTTCTTAAAACTCTGCTGAATGACATACTGATCTGAGTAGCAATTGTGTTTTCACTTTCTGTAACCGCAAACTGCAATGTCACATGCTGAAATTATTTTGCAAATATGATAAGATGTCAAAATATGATGAGGGGGAAGATGTAGGGGTTATTACAATGTCGTTACACAGTCAATATCCACCTCAACATCACCACATCCAAACACCATATCCTTTATTTTTAAATTAAAGCAAAAGTCTCAGTTAAGGAATCTGACACTTATATAGCACTTTTATATTCTAACTGAGCACTCAAATTGTTCTTTTAAAAAATAAATAAATATTTAATATTTAATATTTATTGGCTAACGTCATTCCATTCCAACAGGACTCCATTAGAGCCTTACCTAGATAAATATAAACACCTTTACAAAAGTCTCCCTTCTTCTTTCATTCAGTTCCAGTATGCTGTTAAATTGTAAACAGTTTGTCTATATAATATCCGACCAGATGCATTGGTTTAGATTATAGAGAGGAAGAATCAGACACTGCAGCCATGCTTCAAATTACAAATTATAACAAATTATCCCAAAATACAGATGTTTAGAATGTGCATAACGTTTTGGACATGGGAACATATCCTGTGTGTCTGTGTGTGAACAGATGACACATGCACATTTTAGCAGGTTACCTGAAAAATAGACAGAAGCAGCTTAATAGATGGACTGACCCTTACAGTCCATAGTTCTTATTTGATCATACTGAACTCGCAAGCCCTTTTGAACGTCCATAGATATCCACAGGAATGCAAGATAATTTAGTTTCTAATGCTCAGAAATTGCCCAGAGCAGAACGTCTACATGTGTCACCACAAATACCCAAACACAGTTCCATGCCTGTGCCCTGCAGCAGCACATAGGAAGAAACACTTGTTGCGCTAGAATAGAGCCATGAGGAATATGACTGACTGAAGGCACTGTGAATTTAATTTTACTGCTTTGCTGTTTTAAACAAACCCTTTTAATACCAATGCTAAAAATTCTGCTATACTTCTTAAGACACTCAGCTAGATTTCATATTGTTTAATTTAAAGCTGTGGTAAAAGCTTTTCGATTGAGCAATTGCTTAACCCTCTGAGGTCTAGAAGCACTGTCATCTATAATGACTCCAACCCCAACTCTAAACATATCCCTAGGAAATCAGAAAAAAATTAAATGTCATTTTAATAAATTGTTCTCCCTTGTCTTGGAAATCAACAAGCAAAGAAAATAATCACTCTGACACAAATCTCAAATTATCCACACTGTTGGATCTGTTTTCTGTGATAAAGAGTTTGCGCAGGGTTAGGGTTAACATCTGTGATGACTTAGACCTTAGATGGGTAAAAGAACATTTCCAAGAAAATCCTTTGGTCTCTTTGTTTTGTTAGTGTTTAAGGAAAAACTAACATTAAAACAGTCCCGACTTGAAAAATGGCAAAAAAAAAAAAAAATCATATTTTGCATGGTTGAATCTTAACAAGGTTCCAAGTAGCGCTTTAAGCACACAACAATAAGAAACCGGAGTGAGATAAAACATTTTTTTGAACATGCAATTTATTGAAAACAATAATAATTTTACAGCTGGTCAAACGTTTAGGAACACGCCTCCAAAAATCCCATGCCTTCCCCCCACCCACCCAGAAATCAAAGCTCCAAACATGAACTCATTAATGACTAGCTCCACCATTATTGTTAATCACTTCAAAAATTAATTGCAGCATCAGTGATGCAAGCGTTTCCATGAGCTGAGTGGGAACATTTCTCCAAGTGGTGAAGACGGCAGCACGAAAGGTATCTACTGTTTGGAACTTTTTGTCCAATTTTGTAAACCTCCCTTGCCATCCATCCCCAAAGGTTCATGAATCCACATTTTCACACAGATTTGGCCTTTTAAAGGGATGTGGTCCTAAACTTCTGATCAGCTTTAAAACAGCTTTTTTCAGTTTAAGCATTGTTTTCAGTAAATTGTGTGCTCCAAAAATGTCTTGTCTCATTCTCATTTCTTATTGTTCCATGTTGAAGCTCTACTTGGAACCTTGTTAAGATCCAAACATGCAAAATATGATTTTTTGCCATTTTTCCAATGGTCTTAAACTTTTCATCGAGACTGTATAAAGACCAGGCACAGGCCTTATGACAAGCTAAATTACACTGTACCATAAAGACAAGAATTTAAGAGATGTGCACACTAAGCAGTTTTGTGCTTTAAAGGTTTTTGTTTGTTTGTTTTTGGTAAGAGCAGTTTGAAAAAGTTCTTGGTAGATGTGGTTGTTATGATGTGTTTGTCTCACCCTTCCTACATTGTGAATAGTGTATATGTCAAAATATTCAATCTTATCTTTATGTCTTAAATAGAAAATGGACTGGTTCTTTTATAGTGCTTTTCCACTCTACCTGAGCACTCAAAGTGCTCTCATACAACATGCCTCGTTCACCCATTCACAGCCACTGTTTTTGTGTTTAAGTATTTACTATTTTATACTCACTCTCTAATAGATGCATTGGAGAGTAGCTTGGAGTTGATTACTTGTCCAATGATATTTGGCACCCACAGTAAAAAAAAAAGAAAAAAAAAGTTAAAGTTAAAAAAAAGTTTTATTTATTTTTTTAATTTTTAAAGTTAAAAAGAGTATACTGGTGCTGTAACTGATTTTATATAATTCTTCACCTTTCATAACTACACTGTGGTTGAATGACAACAATTAAACAATCTTAAACAATGAGAGCACACTTCCTGTGCCTCAATATTTAATTCTGCTAGGTTACTACTGTGAAACAGTGCACAAGTAGTCTAGCTCTACCAGGATGGCATGTCCATAGGTACATTTACAAGAAGCAGGACAAGACAGGATCCTCAGTTGATGTCTGATGTATACAGTTGATGTCTCTGTATACAGAGACATCAACTGAGCCTCAGGATCAATGTTTTTGTGCAAGGAGGAACAGAGCAAACTCTGCCAGTTTTTTAGTGGGACATCTCTCACAGTCCAGCACCACGCAAATTGTCTGACATTCCCCAAAGAATACTGGAGCTGGCTGGTCTGCCAGTG